TAATATTTAATTATTACAGAAATAATATTTATTGTTTATATGTATATATGCAGATGTGTACATAGCACAGTGCATGTGCACTCCAGACTAGGTTCACTTCAAGCTTCTAACAGACTCTCCTGTCTCCAGTCCTGTCTCCCCATAAAATGGCTGGAAATGCAGATGCAAGCTTTTATCTGCTGAATGATGCTCAGGCTCGTAGCATCAATGTGACTGAAGACGACCTTCAATACTGCTTCTTCTGTTTTCACCTCCCAAGGGCTGTGATTACAAAAATGGATGTGTATAATGTAATCACATTTTTTTTCCTAATACCTAAAAGTTGAGATCTACATTTACCACAGTTCATGCCTACAATATCAATATTTGGAAAACCGAGACAGCAGCAAAGTAGTAGAAAGCGGGTTTTGACTGTGGTTTTCTAGGTGCAGATGGTCTTTAACTCCCGAGAAAAGGTGTGAAGGCTGAAGATCACACAAAACTTCCACTGAGTCAGTGACTCTAGGTTCTTGTCTCGTGAATTCAAAGAATGAAAATTCTTGGGATGGAGAGATGATTCAGCAGAGCTCTGGATGCTCTTCCAGAAGACCTGGGCTCTATTCCTAGCACCCACATGGTTATTAACAACCACCCATAACTCCTCCTGTTCCAGGGGATCCAACATCCTCTTCTGGCTTTTACTTGCACTTCACAGCCTAGGTGCAGTTGCATACATGAAGGCATAACACTCATAAACATAAAATAAAAGTAAATAAATTAAAAAAAATGAAATTTGTAGACCACTGCAGGTAAATTTTAGAGAGAATATTATCCTGGGTTCAAAGATGACAGCCTAAGAGGTAGCAGAGGTCCTGTCTAGCAAGCACAGGTCCAGGAAATGGGTGGCCATCCATCAGTGGCTACTTCAGTGTTTTTTATTTGTGGAAGAAATGGGACTGAAAAAGGGAGGGGTGAATTGATCATTCCAGATGTCCAGTCCATGAATTAGCCAGGTGACTCTCAGGTTTGGTCATGTTTCACATATAATTTCTGGGCCGTGACACATCTAGGTGGAGTAAAATGAGAAAAAGAAATTATACTAAGAAGCTAGAACAGTAAACACAGCCCCTTCACTCATTCCTGGACTTGGACCAGGACAGAATCAGGACAAGAGCTAGTTAGTGTCAGAACTGCTGCCTTCAGGGCCTCATCGCTAAGCTTCATGACTATTCACTATCGTCTGATCTCTTTGGGAGGATCATGAGTTCAAGGCAGTCCTGGATTACATGTTGGAACAATGTCTCAGAAATAAACAAAATAAACTTTGTCCAGATAGTCATGTAGTATATGTTTGTATAGTTTGCCAATCCATGTGAAAAGTTAATAGGAAGATGATATTGTTATTGTTGTTATATCTTAATGTATATGTGCAGTTAGATAAAATTAGCCATAAAATGTAAGAACATAAAGATTATAACTAATTTCAATTTTAATATGAACTCTAATTTTTCCACAGATTTCTCCAATTGTACATGAAATATTCTATTTTTTAAGTCCTTTGTGAAAATAG